CCTGCTCCCTCTGTACATTAAGCTGAAAAATACATTTCAAAAGAAAGCGGCAGCATTTCTAGGAGTGATCCACAGATTTTATTTGTTCCCCCTACCAGATATTAGATCTAAAGGATTTGCCTGGCCTTACTTACTGTACTGCAACAGTCAGGGCATTAGAGCATATTTTCAGTTTTTCCACTCTGAAATATTCTCGACACTGGATTTTACTGTATAAAGTCTGAGTTCACCCTGCATCCCGAAAAACGTGAACTTCCGACTGCAGGGGGAAGGCAGCTGACAGAGCAGGAAACTAGAAGAGCAAAATAGGAAGCTTTTTAAACAAAACAAAATAAAACACCTCCAAAAATATTAAGGAGCAACATTAAACTGATCTTTAAAACGCCACTTTTATATTTTCTTGCCACTGAAATTTTGATTCTGCGTGTAGGCATGCCACATTACAAATACAGACACGACCACCATGGCATTGTCGTCCATGTTTGGCAAAGAAAAATGCCAGAAATAAAGAGAAATTGTTATTTTGCAGTTACCTTTGGAAGCTAAGTTTTAAGGAATGCTAGAAAATTAGCAAATGCTTTTACTTCCATAAGCAAACTTTTATGTTTAGGTGAGAACAGGATTAAAAAAAAAGTGACTGGAGGAAAAGATAGTGGTGTATATTATTTTAATAACATATATTGAAATACAAAAAGGATAGAACTCTGCTTATATGGCACTGGCATAACTGAACTGGAAATAAAACCCAGTGTGTCTAGTTCCTCCTAAACAACACAATTGGTCACAAAACAAAATCTAAAGACTGTAGCAAAAATTTACATTAGAATTTGTCATGACAAGAAACTCTGGCTTAGAAACATCTCATTTGAAATATCTGACCACGTAAATATTTACAGTATATTAACCAGCTGAATATAAACATCAGTTCAACAATAAGAGCTGTATCTTAGTATACCCAGCATCAAGTAAATCCTGAAGTGCAAAAAGTTAGAGAATTATTCAATGCAGTTTTGTTAGCTGTAAATTAGTTCTGAGATGTAATCCAGCTCTATCATCTACTAACATGATTTCTGGCCTGATACACTGCAATACTTTAAATGTGCAAGCTTTCAAAAAACTCCTTTTTTGGCCTTAAAACAGAGTTGTGAATATGCTATAGAAACCAAACCCAGAAGCCTAGCCAAAAAGATCCTTAAAGTGCATAATACGTGTTTTCACAGAAGGCAGGGAAATAGCGTTAAAAAAATCAGGGACTTGGTACAGAAAATTAGGAATGTGCGTTTGAAGTGAACTCACTGCTTCCTTTTTTCTGCTATAATAAATTCCTGGGTAACAATAAGCAATAAAGGCATAAAGTTGCCTCATGGTACTGTTGCTAGAATGACATAAAGCTTATAAAAAGTCAGTACAAAGTGCTGGCTCACAAAGAACACTACTGCAATAAAGGCAGTTTTATTAATACTTACAAAGGTATTTAGTACTCACTGGAGTCTGATCTCACACCCCAGAATAAATCTGAAACATTCCGCTTCGACAGCAACCCTTTGGTGGCATCTTGTCTCATTTCCTCAGCGTGGTGACTGGCCAGTGAACCAGCTACAGCCATTTGTTAATTCAGAAGGAGACGGAGCTTAGAATTCCCTTGTTACTACATTTTACGTTCCCAAAAGATCAGGTGAAAAAAAAAAAAAACAAACACAACATTTCTTACACCTTTACTACAAGATGGTATTTCAAATGTCAGACTCATTCAATTTAAGATGAATTACAGATTTTTGACACCTGTCTTCATTAGTTTTGAGAAAGATGAGTTGTTTAACTATGCTCGAGATAAAACCTGCCGTGCTTTAAACACACTTCATACACAGCATTATCTGGATGCTAAGTACAATACCTTGTTGTCATTAACAGTGAGAAAAATAGAAAAGGCTCAAAGATGCTATCTTCTTGCTCTGTACTGCACTTTTAAAAACAAATCATGTTTTGCAGGATAAATTTCTGGTTGTTTCCTAAACCCACTGTTGGTACAAATTTGTTTTCTGTAGGTGTGCCGCCTCTCTTGCCTCTTCAAACGAAAACTTTGCCTTTGTTTAAGAGACTACAACTTAATTTATTTCCGCATACAAAGAAGCATCCCTCTTTCAATCTGGGTAAAAGCAGGCGCTTGGGTCAGGAACCCCTGGAAGTCTACGTTAGAAAATGCTGCTGACCTGAAACAAAACCACCAGGGCCCGTGAACAGGGTGGAATCCCCCTGTAACCACGGAGCGTTCTGCATGCTACACTGACTGCGGGGAGCCTCAGCAGACTTTTACGCATCTGCTGCACCCCAGAGAACTGTTTTAATTGAACCTTGCGTCAGAGGAAGAATTCCATTTGGAAACACGCTCTGGAGTAATGCTGGTGCAGCATGTCATTTTCTTTTGATAAATATTAAACCAGACACTCTAGCTCCCATGAGCCATGTTGCAGAGGGCCAGGAACAGTTCTTGTTTTAGTGACTTTTACAGCCTTTCCACCTGCTGCTGCTTTGGGTCAGCCTGGTGAGGTTGCTCGAGGCTGTCATCTTGGCGTTGCCGTTTCTGCTCCTGCTTTTTCTTTTCAGCCAGTGCTTTTGCCCTGGTAGTCATTGACCTGGGTCTAGCATCAGGCCTCTCTTCATCCTGCTGGTGCTTTTTACAATGTTTTTCAAAGGTGGAAATTTTGGCATATGTCCGGTTGCAAAGCAAACAGTGGTACGGCCGCTCCCCACTGTGTGTTCTCATGTGAAGCTGGAGGTAGGAGGACCTGGAAAAGGCTCTGCTGCAGACTGAGCAGCGGTGAGGCTCGCGTGCCTCGTGGGTCTTCAGGTGCTGCTTGAGGGATGACGCCTGCTTGAAGGCCTTCCCGCAGGTGGAGCACTTGAAGTTCCTCTCGCCTGACTCAAGAAGCTGGTGTGACATGAGGTGGGCGGAGGAGCGGAAGTTCTTCCCGCACTTGTCGCACTTGTACGGCCGTTCCCCGGTGTGCAGGCGGATGTGGAGGACCAGTCCAGCCTTCTGCGTGAAGGCCTTCTCGCACTGCAGGCACTTGAAAGGCCTCTCGCCCGTATGCACGCGGCGGTGGGTCTCGAGGTGCGAGGCGCGCCCGAAGAGCTTGCCGCAGTCCTCGCACTTGAAGGGCCTCTCACCGGTGTGGATGGCCTTGTGGCGCACCAGGTGGGAGGACTGGAGGAAGAGCTTCCCGCAGATGGGGCACTGGGACTTC